GCTTCAGCCGCTCAATGATACGCTTCCGAGGCACCTGGAGAACTTTCGCCGCGCCGTTGTTTCCCACCGGTTGACCGTCGCACGGGCAGATCGCCCGTGTGTAGGCCGACGCGTTCAGTCTGAACCGGATGGCGTAGCTCCCTTTTTCTCCCACTGCTCCTGACCGCTCGATCGGGAAGTTGGGCTCCGGGTACGCAGCTCCGGGTACGCGCGTTTGCCGTTGCTGTTTTTGACGGGGTCGTTGGCAGCTAGCATCTCATCGATAGCCTCGCCAGTTGCCTTCGGGTCCGCAGCGGCAGCTCCCTGATCCGCAGAGGAAGGACCGCAAGCACTAGCCTGTGAGGCCTGTGAGGCCTGTGAGGCCTGTGAGGCGTCGGCAGGTCTCGCGCTTGCACCCTCCGACATCGTAGCCGCGCGTTGCGTGTGGTCGAGCCCGCAGCTCCGCCCCGGGCATTTTCCCGATTTTCCGCCGGTATTTCTCCGCCACGGAACTGTTGTGGTGGCAATTCCCCGAGACTCGTTTATGTGTGCAGCTACTATAATAGCTTGTCTGTTGGTTGTGTTGTGATCGTGTTGCAGCAATACCATACACGCGAAGTGCTGCTATCCCCTGTGGTTTTCAATGTTAGGATCGCACATATCGGGGTCTTGGAACAGGGGTGTGCGTTCGAAAGTCGCCGTACGAGCCGCTTTGGATTTAACCAGCACCGCACTATCCGGTCGCCCCGGTGGTCTAGTGGGTAACCTCGCAGCCTGCTGAGGGCCAGGTCATGGGTTCGAGTTCCGGCAGAGTGATTTTTTTTCTCACTCAATAAATCCTGGCCTAGGATGAAAGCGACGCGTTGCAAAGCTCGTTGTTAGTAAACCACAACCAACTTCGTAAGTGGCGAGGGAAGGGATTGCTGTACCCTTCTCGCGAAAAAAATACCTCAGGCAGGAACCGCAGGAGGGGGTCCAGCCCCCCCCTCCTATGTGACCCCGGTTGGGTCGTCTAGATAGTAGACGTGGAGGAAGGGGTCAGAGGGGCAGACGATAGAATCCGATGATGGAAGAAAAAAAAAATATATATATATATATATATCGGGGTCTTGGCACAGGGGTGTGCGTTGTTTCTTAGAACCAAAATATGTACTGCATTTCCGCACAGGTATCGCGAACTTGGCACATATCGGGGTCTTCGCACACCTGTGAGAAAAAAGTCTGAAGTTCGAAACATTTAAAAAAGCGACCGCACAGTGTGCCAAGACCCCGATGATTACTGTACGCACCTGGAACAGCAGCTGCGATGCGGAGTTGTCGTTCTCGTTGTTCTGCTCTCGCCTCCTTATCAGGCTGCCGCTGCCAGCGGGAGTGAGCGGGAACCTGACGAGCTTCTTCTCCGGCCGCATGTTCTCGGGGAGAGGGGACAGGTTGAACCAGCGAACAACCCCCTTCATGTACCTGTCAGGCGGGGGAGGGGGGGGNGGGGGGGGGGGGGGGGGGGGGGGGGGGGGGGCAACAGCGGCGGTGGCGATGATGATCGGGATGTAGAAACGATTGACGGCATCTCGGCCAAATTAATGAAGACTTTGGAACAAGTTGCCGTGCGAATTCTTCGCGCGACTTACAAGTCAGTTTTGAATCGTTTCTTAACCTCCGTCCCCTATCTTCCCCTCTTGAGGAGATCAAGGCCGTATTACACAACTTGTGAATCAATCGGAAGGAAATGGTGCTCTACGGGCCCGTCAGACATGAGCTGCGGGACGGTTTCTCAGGAAGTTGGGAAAATACAGTGCTGAAAAAAATGGTTTGGACACAGCATCACCAGTAACTTTCGACTACGTTATTTTGTCGCCCGCGGCAGCGAAAAGGATCTCACTCGCCTCTCCGTGCACGTTTTCAGTTTTCTGCGTCATAATGCGCTCTACCTTGTACTTAGCCGCGTTGTTTCAATACTAGTCATTCAATGTGGAGCGTTTGTCATACCAAAACTGACGCCGTCTGATTCTACAGAGGCGTTATACTTGCCAGGCTGGAAGAGGAGGTATGCACAACAAGCGATGCGACGTTTCATGATGGGCGAAACGACCGACCGCTGTACTTCCGTGACACATTACTCGTGCGCTCCGCAAACAGCCGCAGCAACTCACTGGTCGACGCCTCTGAACTCAAGATTTCCCTGCAGGAGGCCCAGCCCTTCCGCCTGCCCGAACATTCTCGACACGAGCGGCTTGATTTCCGACATCTTCACCGAGTCCAGGGTGTCTCGGATTTCCTGCACCGTGTACCTGACAGGTTCGGCGGGGGGGGGGGGGGGGGGNGGGGGGGGGGGGGGGGGGGGGGGGGGGGGGGGGGGGGGGGGGGGGGGGGGGGGGGGGGGGGGGGGGGGCGCGAACGGGGTGCTGGTGTCATGATTTGGCGGTTGACAGTGAGAGCTAGTGAGCGACGGGACCCCCTCTCGAAGGAATTGTCGTCTGTCTCTCGCTCCAATTGATCGCTTCAGTTGAGTCACGCCGGGAACAAGTAAAGAGACTCTTGTACTGCGTGCCACCCGTTTCTCCCCAAAATACACGCTGCGGGGGGACCGTGCACTCGCCTCCCGGGCGCGCTTGCAACTAAAACTCCAAGTCAACCCGTACACACGCCATACGCTTTACCTGAAGCAACCATGTGCGGAGATGAACTTTGACAAAGGGGTTACAACTCCACGGGTCGCCCCCCATGCATTTACCTCTATCCCCGCAGGCTTTGGGCAGTCAATGTCGGGAGTTCCATCCCCTCTGCTATGTAGTATATGTTGATAACGCCAACAACAGCATGGACAAAGGAGATGAGATGACGGTCGCTCACCGGGGGTCCTCCGAAGCAACCGCCGCGTTGGACATGGCGTGCTGGTAGGGTTGCTGCGTGTCGTAGCTCGTTAAATCCCTGCGAACCTGGTCGTAAGGAACGGGGAGAAGGCGTTGAGGTTTACCTACCCAGTGCTGCTGCTGTTTCAGAACTCTTCTTTTTGTCCCCAATTTCGTTTATTATATTCTATGCGGGATAACCCACCAAAGGACCGACCCTGACCTCGATTTAATCCTCATCTTTGACCGTCAGCCAAAAAAGAGCACTTTTTACCCAAATCCATACACTAACAATGCAAACCGGAAGGTTTACGCTGTTGTATTAACAACATAGACGGGGAATTCTACAGCTGTTTCACAAACTTTGAGGTCGTCCTTTATCCCCAGCATGAAACGCTAGGTTTTTGACGCACTCCTCACCACGTCTCGCAGACGCTCGAACTCCACGGGGTCGCTGGGGGTGTAGGTCGCAACCGCCTGGGCTACCTTTTCGATGAAGTCGGGCATCTTGTCCGAAAACCCCGAGAACGACATTCGAAGTCCCCTGGTTGTGAAGTCTAGGCTGTACCCTAGACCCGCCATCTGCCATGAATAAAAGTAAGGTACATGTCACCACGTGCACGATACTGTCACGCTAGATCCGTTGCTGAGGTCTTCTATTGTCTGTGCATGTCTACCAAAGAAAAGAGACATGGTGATATAATTCAGGAGAGACGTGGCATGTGTGTTGTGAATTGGCCAATTGAGTCGTTTGTGTGTCAGAATAATATAGTAGGAATTGATATCGGGCAACATACAATAGGAATTCGAACCAAAATATGCTGTTCACCAACTCCAGGTTGTTTACCCGAAACCCGTCATCTGCAGATCGCGAAACAATTGTGAACCAATTGAAAAACGGTCATTTGGTCTCGGAATGGATAATAGTCAAGAAAGGGGAGTTAATTTAACCCGGGAAACTAACAACCTGCTGGCAACTTTCACTCTCTTCTTCGAGGCGCTTTTCAATTGATTTGTTGTACTTTCGGCCGTCGTTAACCCTGCGGAGGGAAGTAAAAACATTGCTTTCGCGAAAAAATGTGGTCATTGCCCAAAACCCCACAAACCAAAACGCGTGCGAGTGATAATCTGGGAGAAAAAAAACATTTGGAAAACCGCAGAAAAAAACAACTGCGGTAGTTCATCTGTGCGTGTGAATGTCGTCACGAAAACTTACGGCGGTGGGACAGGGCGTATCAAATACTGCTAAAAAAAATGACACGTAAGTCCAAGAGCGAAGGAAGAAGAAATGCTGCGAAGCTTCCCTCAAACAAAAACACACGCGACCGACAACATGGAACAAAAATTTCAGTGAATGATACCCCGACAAAGCCAGCACAAACTACGGTACCTGGGCGTCGTAGGCGTACTCGTTGAGCCTTTCTTCGAGGGATAACTCGAAGAGCTTCAGGGCGGCTACGGCCCGGGGACTCTCATAGGCCACCGGGCTCACGACCTCCAGGTAGCACACCACCTTCGGCTGTGCGAAGATGTCGTCGAGCTTGTGCCTCACCTAAATAGGCGCCGAGCATGGTGTAATAAAAACAAAAATCGTGAGTGAAATAACAACGGGGGAAAAATGCTGGTCAGGGCGAGCTGCCAATCGGGAGATGAGGAGCGGGCGGCATGGTGCACAAGGTGAACGCACGTGGGGTCGAGAAAGGTCGTGGATTGAACACATGTGGTAAGCCAGACAAACGGGCCGGGTATATGTTGTACCGTTGTCTCGACACCTGCAGAGTTTGTTGCAGGCGGTGCTTGGTTGGGCGAGCGCATTATTTCCGGTGACAACCTATGTACACTGAGACCGCCTCCTTTTTCTTGCAGAACGGAAAAGCACCCCGCGGCTCCAGCTGGAGAGCATGTGGACGGGAAAGGACTCGCGTGCAAGCCACGCTAGCTCGGCCACGTGTCCACACCTCGTGCCCCTTCAAGTACGACACCTCAACATCATCAGCAGCACGGCGCCAACAACAATAAAAACGATACCGATATACAGTAGCATCTTGACACCTTGCACCATTTATGCGCAAACAGCAGCAGCAGCAGCAGCAGCATCAGCAGCAGCAACAGCATCACCACAAGCAACCACCAGCACCAGCACCATCATCAATAGCGTCAGCTTTAGCAGCAGCAACAACAACAACAACAACAACAACAACCATAACCCATCGACGAGGTGACCCAACTAACCTTCCACCCCGCCGTCGTCGGAAACACCAAAACCACCGCCGGGGCCGCGATTTTTTCCCCGGGCTTAACGACTCTCCCCTTGGGGTTGATGACGCCCAGGTCCCGCGGTATGAAGGGGTTGGGCCCCGGGAGCTTCAGCGCCGGAATCTCCGGCGGGGAGCACCACTCTCTCTCGTGCGACGCTAGGCTTTCCACCTGCAGTACGGAAAAAGCAGGAGCGAGGGGGGGCCGTGATGCTTGAGATATACGCGAGCGGAGGAAGATATGAAGGGGTATTGCTTCTTGCAGGAGGGCTCAGGGCCAACGCGCAACAACTTTCCGAAAACTGTTCGCGTAGCGTACCAGCGCTTCAAAGTTTGCGTGACTCGTTCGCTTCAAAGCAGACCCGAAGGCACGGTAATCGTGCTTGGTAGGGCGCGTCGTTGGACCATTTCTGCCTGTTGTCGGTCTTCTATCACGTCAACAGCCGGAGAAGACCACAAAACGTACGTGTCACAGAGGGTTGGCAATCAAAGATGAATAATTAAATCTAGGCCAAGCAACAGTGACACGATTTTACGAAAACACGCCGAGAACGATTGCAACATTTGGTGGAGTAATAACGAATGCAGCGAAGGACGACAACGGCACGATGCCGTAAGGATCCGTTCATGTCAACCCAACGGTCGCATCAACAAGGGTCTTATCACAAGTTCGTCAGTCCAACGGCCAACCAATAAACGTTTCCAACAAGCACAGCAACATCAAACAACAAACAACGAGCAAACAATAGCAGCCGCAGAGCAAGCAACAAAGAACAATGACAATAACAGCAACAACAATACCAGGAGCGAGTAACAAACAAAACAAGACTAGGACTTGCCTGGTATGGAGTACCGTACCACTCCTCGTTCTTGTCGGCCTTGCCCTCGAACTCCTTCGCCGTCGAGAACACCAGCGGCGTCGCAGCGGAGTAATCCACGGGGTCGGGCCGCAGCACATCCAGGAGACGGTACACCAGGCTCTCATTGTACGAGGTTAGCCGGGACGGGCCGCTGCGGACAAAGATTGGTCAATGGTGGTCGTTGTTTTCGTTGATGTTGTTCTTGTTGCTATTGCTGTGGTTGCTTTTGCAATTGCAGTTGGTGCCGAGCTCCAGCTTCAACGAGGCGCGGGCGAGAAACATCCCTAAAGGGTTGTCGTCGTCCGTTCACACGGGTGGGAAGGGACAAAAGCACGACAGTCTGTGACAGTCTCGCGAAAAGACGTGGCGCGCGTCTGGCTCAGGCTGGAGGACACGAGAGTCTCTCTAACAAGACCCTCCCAGACGTGTCGCCAAAGTTCGGCTCGATTCTCGCTGCTCGCCAGGGTTGGGCGATGAGAAAACAAACACGAGCTTACAACGGTTCCGGCTCACGCGTGCGTGAGTGTGCTACCGCCGCGCCCACGCGCTCTGAACCAACAGCGTAGTGGAAAATGGCTCGATCGTTACAGCTGTTGATCGCCTGGGGGGGGGCAGTTCCAATTCACAAGGCAACAGTCAATCTAACAGCATGTAGCACCACGGAAACTGGATATCGAGCGGTCGAAGATAGCCCATGGAAGCTTAATCTTGACGCGCATATGCCTATGGTACCTGATGGCAGCCTCCGGGGGATACTCCTGCAGATTCGCCGCCAGCGACGGGACCAGGCTCCCGGGCTCCCGCTTGTCCTGACAAAGCCAAGAAAAAGAATAAAAAAAGCGGCGGCAGGACAACAGCGAGACCCATCGCAAGGGCGGCGTCCGGCGCTTTAGGCGCCGCTATCCCGAAGGGAAACGAAACTCCGAGTCGAGTCGTGCATTCAATGCCGCCTCTGCCCCACAGGCGAACAAACGCCAACCTTCCACAGTGAACCCCTAAACGTCCAGCCTTCCTTCATCCATGCGACGACACATAGGGTGCCCCCCCCCCCCCC